ATAAATCTTTAAAGAAAAAAACGAACAGAGAAACCAAAATCTGGGGGATAAATTTATTTATTTATTTAAAGATTTATTTTTATTCATACAAGAGCTGGGGTACAGGCCAGAGTCGCGGGAGGGTGACAGGATTCACCAGAGACAGAGTGAGGAGCAGAACAGGCAGATGGACTGAAAAGCACTGCTGAGGGGAGCAGCACGTGCGACAGGAGAAGTCTGCCACGCCATATGGGCATCTCCCTGGCCAGCCGGGAATCGAACCCTCATTGCAGAGGCTGCGGACAGCTTCACAGCGCTGTGCTCAACCCGCTGCACCACCAGGGAGGCCCATTTCTCACCTTTTTGACTAACTAAAAGTGAACAGCACAAGAGCATGCTGGGCTGGCAGCTGTGACGACAGGCTCTCCCACATGCACACTGTTTCTCCCTCAGAAGGGCAATTAGACAATGTTTCACCTTTCAACACAGCAATCCCTCTTCTCAGAACTCACAAGAAGATACACCTCCAACATACAATACACATGCAAAAATTAATCACTGCAGCATCACCAGTAACTGTGACATACTGGACACGCGTGTGCCCGTATTGGAGGCAGCAAGGAAACCGCAGAGCACAGGCCTCAAGAAGGAAGCAGCATGTGAATGTGAAGCAGGAAGTTTCTTAAGTCTGCTGCTTGGGGGTGTCTGCTCCTTAGATTCTGCTGCTTGCTGGAGCGGGGAAGTTGCTGGGTGTTCTGCACTGCTTGTTCACAGTGGTAGCCATGGCTACCTGACCCCTTCCTGAACAATAAAGAATGCTTATGCTGTAATGGATGGGATGCAAGTTTCCTCATACAAACTGTATAAAACCCTGCCATTTTCACTCTTGGGTGCTCAGCCTTTTGGGAGCTATGCCACTGAGCCTGCCGGAGTGACAAGTAAATCTTTCTTTCACCTCTCTGAGGTGAAAGTAAATCTCTCTTTCACCTGATTTCTCTGGGAAATTGACTTAATAAATGAATGACAGGGGCCTCTGCGTACCAGCAGATGGTCTCCAGGATGGACTCCAGTGAAGAAGATGAAGTGTGTGCTGCCTCTGTGCAAGATAAATGAGGAATAAGAAAATGCACGTGTGTTTGCTTATTGTGCAAAAGAAACATAAACCAGCACAATCAGATTATTTACCTCTGGAGGGGGAGTCGGATGGAGAAGAAAGGTCAGCAGAAGCAGGGCTGAGAGAATGCCACTTCTCTAAGGGTAGCCTTGGAGCAGTTCCAGCACGGGAGTTCAGGCTAGTTTCTCAGTTCTGTATCAGCGAGGCTGTTCCAGAGAATCAGAACTTCAGGACGTGTGTGTATGTGTGTGTGTGTGTGTGTGTGTGTGTATAGAGACAGAGACATAAAAAGCCGATTAATTCACTTACCTTACAACCCATCACCACCTCCCAATGCTGGAGGCAACACCATCACCTTCTCTTTGAAGATAAGGAAACAAAGGTTCAGAGCAGTTAATTACGTCCCCAACGTGGCACGGCCAGCAGGTGGCAGAGCTGGGATGCAAGCCTGGCCTGGCAGTGTCAGGCCCGCACTTCTCTTTTTCTTTTTTCTTTTTTTAAATTTTCTTTTTTTTTTAGATTTTTTTTATTTTAACATTTATCAGTTTTTACATTTTTAAGACAATATTTGCTTCCCCCACCCCCTCAGATTGAGTCCCCACAGAATTTCCTTCCCCAAGGCACCCGTGCACCATCACCACAGTCCCCTGTGCTCCTTACTCCGTCCCTCTGATCCCTCTCCCTCCTCCTCCCCTGATCCCCCCCCCTTTTTTTTTTAAAGATTTATTTATTTATACAAGAACTGGGATACAGGCCAGAGGCACAGGAGTGTGAGAGAATTCACCAGAGACAGAGCAAGGAGCAAAACAGGCAGAAGGACCGAAAACACTGCTGAGGGGAGCAGCGGGTGAGACAGGAGAGGTCTGCTGTGCCATGTGGGTATCTCCCTGGCTGGCCAGGAAACCAACCCGCACAGCAGAGGCTGCAGACAGCTTCACAGCGCTGGGCTCAATCCCCTGGGCCACTGGGGAGGCCCCAGGCCTACACTTCTAATCACTATTACCACACTGCCTCCACTTGCCCCAGGTTAGAGGCTTAGTTTTCAAAGTAAGGGTGGTCATCGGGTACAACAAAAACTAAATTTTGTAAATTTATCAACTGAACTGTCATCCGTCCTCAGGGCTTATTCTGTATATCCTTTGAAACTGTGAATTTTCTACTATTTAAACTTACAGTCATCATTTTCTTTTGATTTCAGAAAATTAAAATTGAGATGTAATATTATAGTGCACTGTTACTTCAGCAATAAATTATATATAAAAAATAAAGACGTTCTGTGAGCCCCAACAGTGACATGGACCCTCGGCACTGTGCCTTTTCAACCATGGATCAGCAGGGCCTGCTGGGACAAAGAATTTATCTTTTCATGGAGCTTATAGTATGATGGGAGATACTGACACTCCCATTCCTAAGCGAAGAGGATGGTTTCAGATTATGATAAATACTAAGATCAGGATAATGTGGCTGGGGGTGGGGGTGTTGGCTCCGATTAGTGAGGCTCCTAGTGTCAAGCATTTAAGGAGTCAGCAAATTCCAATTCTGCACTGCAGAAGCCCTGAGGCAGTCTGAAGCAGTGTAGTTTGCATGCCCCCCACCAAATAGTGAACTGGTGCTTAATATCAATATAGTTATCGGTGGACTCGGTACCCTTCTAAACTGGCATCTTTGGAATGGTTATTCCATGCTGCGATGATAAAATGTCTGCAATCCACAACCAAAATGTCTCAAATCCACAACCAAAGAATCTAACAAAGTGTCTAGAGTAGTTTCCAGCCCCTCTCCTTCCTTAGGGCTGAACATTCCAGCAGGCAAAAGCATTTACGCAGCAGTAACTAGTAACTATGCAGCCAGCACTTCCACATTGCATCAATTTCCTCCTAATATTGAATATCTCCATGCAATAGAAGTCTACCAAGATGTAAAAAGATCATTCATCAGCCTTTCTTAATTAACAGATTATCTGGCACTATTATGGACCCAGAGGTCAAAAGCAAAATGAATCCAAAGTCAGCACAAACTAAGATACAAAGAAATTATTGGTAATGCCTATTTACACTTGGAAGCCATAGAATCGAAATACTTGTAATTAGAAATGATTCACCTATAACCAGAAAATTATAGGTAGGATCAAAGGCAACCTGAATCCAAGACTGTTGTGCCAGAAAATAAGCAACATGCACTCAGGACAGGGGAGATTTAGAAAGCAGTGATACTTTCAATCAATAATTAATCTTGCCATAGCTAAGCAGCACATTATGAAAAACAGTAAAAATTAGATAAAGCCTGCTAAGGTACTTTCTGGAGTTCTGCCACAGAGAGTCAATGGATAAGAGTTGACAATGTATGGAGCTGAATCCCTCTCGCTGGGCTGGCATTTCTGAAGTTTAGCTTCACCCCTATGGGGACCCATCTACCCCCAAGCCCCATTCATGGATGTTGTGTGACATGAAGAAAAAAATGCGTATGGAGTGTGAATTTGGCATCTGATCTGTTCTGAATATGTTGGATTCTTGTCTAACAAATTTAAGCCCAGGGTTGTGAGTCTATTTTGCCGTTCAACAAGTGGTGGTAACCAGGTATAAGGCAGCTCCACCCTCCAGGTGCTCAGGCCAAACCTTGGGGCTTTGACTAGACTTCCACTGGACCTCAGCTCCAGCGCAGCAGGAGGGGACGCCTCCCTCAGTGTGTCCAAAACACACGATCACTTCTCCCTACCTCCCTCGCCACCACTCCTGGCTGAGCCACCATCATGTCTCGACTGAGTGACTGCACAGCCCTTTCAGCTTCCTCTCCGTCTCTCCTCTTGCCCCTACAGATGGGCAGCAGAGCCTTAGAGTGCCCGCCGATGGGCACGGGACACCCCCAGTACTCAAAGGCATTCTGAAGGCTCCCACCTCATGCTCAGGAAAAGCAGTTGCCCTAGCAGAGACCGAGCAGACCTCCCAGGATCCAGCCCCCACCGAGGTCTCTTGCCTTCTCTGCTAAAGCTCCCCCCACACACCCCTTATGTCAGAGCTGCAGCACCTCTTGTCCCTGCTCTTCCCCAAACACTGTCGGGAGCCTTTGATCTTTTCTGGGCCTGGGTCCTCTTTCCCGGGTTTCCCCTTAGCCACCTTCCTGGGCTCCTTGAAATTCTTCGTCCATCCGTGTATCATTCTCATCACTATTCGGCAATTTCCCTCCACCCACATGCATTCTGCATTTCCAGCAATCTGCTTTTTTTTTTCCTTTTCTCCAAAGCATTTATGAACTTCTAGAAGACTGGATAATTTACCCATTTACTAGGTTATTCTCTGTCTTCCTCTGCAAGAATATAAACTCCACCAAGATCCAGATCTTTGTTTTGCTCAGATGTTCTCCCAACCGTACCTATACATGGTGGGGACTCTATTTTGTCGGTGAAGGCATTGAACTAACAAAAGCACTATGTGACACATACTGCGTAAAATATAGTTAGATTTCCGTGCTTGGAAAACTAAAAACCCCTTAATCCAGCATCCTCCCTGCCCTAATAACCATGGTGCAAAAATTGCATTTACAACACAGGCAAAAACATTGAAAAAATGAGGCATCCTAATATGGTCAGTGTAAGTATCTGCATATGCTTAGTCCAGACCAGGTTAGTTCAAAACCAAATTCAACTGTGGCCAAACGCAAACTCCCCCAAAAAAGAATTTTAAGTGGAGGTAGAGGGATAGCTTTGGTGGTAGGAACATGGAGGAAAAAACAAAGACCTCGACCCATTTGCTCTGGGCTGCTAGAAAGGAGCTCATTCCAAAGACGCGCCTCACCTGAACTGGGCCACTTTCTGTCCACAGCGCTGTCCTCACAGGGGGGGCCCGCTGCCCTCTGACTCCGGGTGAGGATTAAAAGCCCACCATTGGGGTTATTCTACTGTGTAACAGATCACTCCACAACGCGGCATTTTCAAAGGAACACTTTATTTTGTTCCGTTTAGTGGGGCGCAGCAAGGGTTCACTGAGGGCTCACCGGGCAGCCCTCACTTGGGGCCTCTCCGGCTTCTGCGGTCAGTGGCAGGCTGGGTCTGCGTGCGCCCTCCCTCCAGGAGCTGTCCACGAGCTCCGCTGGGGTCGCATCTGGCGTCCAGAGACCAGGAGGAAGCAGCATTTCAGACACTGCAGTGTCGCTTTCACATTCTATTAGTGAGTCGTTATGGCTGCCCACATTCAAATTCCAACCCCCCACAGGAGGGCCTAAAACCTGCAGTAGTATTGCAAAGCCACCATCACATCTGTCAGTTAGGAAGCTGTAAAGTGGGGCTGTCTTGCAGTACGTTTTATGATGATCAGACACACAAAACTAGTGTTTGATGTTTTAGGAAAATGGGAAACATCTCGCCGTGTCTCTTGGTACGCTTTCCTCCAGCCGCCCCTTTCAGCCTGGAAACCGGACCTTTGGTTATAGGTGTGAAATGGCTGAATGATACACTTTGAAGGTAGTGCCGACAGACCTGTGCTGGGATTGCGTCTGCAAGCTTTGCCTACATTTTCTTTTTAAGATTTTTTTTTTATTCAAGAAGTGGGGTGCAGGTCAGAGGTTGGGGGGCAAGAGGACTCACCAGAGACAGAGTAGGGAGCAGAACAGTTGAATTTACTGAAATACACTGCTGAAGGTAGCAGCGGGTGAGTCAGGAGAGCTCTGCTGCGCCATGTGGGTAGCTCCCCAGCCAGGGCCTGAACTCAGGCCTCAGTGGTGATAGCGCTGAGACTTAACACCTAGGCCACCAGGAGGCCCTGTCTACATTTTCAGCACATGTATACCAACCACATGGGGGGTTCATCTGATCAAAAGCAGATATGATCAAAAGCTGATCAAAAGCTCCTGCAGTAAAACAGATCAGATGTCGTATCTGACGATAAACTACTAGAAACATCACAGCACATGATCTTAGAAACAAAATCCCCTACTCCCTTGAGCAAAGATTGGTTACCAAGTAAACCCAGAAATGAACAAACTTCGGTTTGACCGTATGCTTTTCTCTCTCCCTTTCTTCCTCTTTTTTAATAACACACTGGGGTAACTCAACCAGATGTTCGTATTTATTTATAGAAGTCTCTCTCCAATTAGCTCCTCTAACCCCAGGTTACAGTTCAAGTGAGTGCACATAGCAGAAGTTTCTACATAGTCAGCCTAGTGTGGTGTTTTCAGACGCTGGGAAGAAACACACCTCCGTTTGCTCTCCTATCTGTTGAATAAATGAATGAAGGTTGGAGAATCAAAGAGCTAAAGGCTTGCAGGATCGGGTTTCGCGTGGTGGACACCGGTCCCGCCTTCCTGTGCTCTCAGGGAGAACACAAACAGCAGGCAGGTGGCACCATGCATTTCTCAGACTCATCACATGAGCTAAAGTACATGATAGGCCCAGTAAAATGGCTTAAACAGAATTGCAATTATTAAAAAAGTAATTTTCCTGTTTAGGTATTTAAATTCAACAAGTTATGCAATCGTGCACATTTTGATACCGTAGAATAAACTGAAACAATCTACAGCTATGGAAATGTGTGGTGGTTACCATTAGCTTGTCGAGATTTAAGTCAGATTTATTTAACAACAGAAAACTATTTGGAATGCTTAGATATGAAAACCGTGTGACTGCCTTGGGACTTTATTAGTTGGATTTGAATTTTGGGGTAGTATCTAAGATCCTGAGATGTTACAGGGACTGATGCCTGATTTAAGGACAGATATAAGTAAAAGCCCCTTAGGTGTGTCACAGGCTTAACCACCATACCTCAGAAAAGTGATTCTTAAGTCCCTTTAAATTCATTAGCTTGATTTGGGGATACCCCTACGTTATTTGCTATGCACTGATGGTAATCTACTTTGGATCAAAATAAAATTTACTGTCTAGGACTTAAAATAGAAAATCACATGACTTGATGGCTTAAAAATAGGAAGGTTCCGCAACACACGGCAAGCATACAGCTTGCCACCCTTCACAGCAGATCGGAAATGACTGGTTTATAGTAAGTTGGCACCGAAGCCCGAAGCAGCGCCATGGCTAACAGCTTCACGATTGTGGAAAACAGCGTGGGACAGGGTCCCAGTGTCCCTCGCCACAAAGAGCTTGGGGCTGCACAGCCAGGGCACGCCGGTCAGCAGAGCACTGAACTCTGGCTTCTCCACAGCAACTAGAAATGCTCATGAGCATCTCTATTTTCTAAGATGGGCAAATGCCCATAGGGCAGCAAGTGGGGAGAGGTCTGGCCCCACTAAACAGACATCTGTCTGTGTCTGAGTGCACACTCATTAAGACCCTGGAAAGACACACAGCATAGGCTTAGCTGTGTTTTCTCTGAGTGGTAGGACTAAAGGTTTTAAAAAACCTTTTTATATACCTTTTGGTATTCTCTTTGGATTCTGCTTTTTTCTGTAGTATAATAAACATGCTGTGATGCTTGTTACTGATACATCAATTTGATGAAATCAAGTGATTTTTTTTTTTTTAAAAAGTCTCTTATCAGTGAAACTAAGAATCTGTTCTCTGGACCCAAACTACCTGTGTTCACTCATAAATTGAGCTGTTGAGGTGGAGAAGCACATGGCTAGGTGTACTCAGAGACCCTGGACGTCCCGAGCAGAGCTGGCCTTGGGGCTTCATATACTGCAAAACACACCAATACCCCCAGCCCTTCCGTAGCACACTTGTTCCCTGCGAGCCCTTGAAGGCGGGCAGCAGGATGAGGACATGTGTCTTCAAGTCAAATGGATGGCCGCTGCTTGATTTTTTATCTGGAAAACGGGGCAAATAATGCCTTGCAGAGGACTGAATTAATGTTCATAAAGCACTAAGCCCCCAGAGGGGGATAAATAAATGGTACCTGCTACTATTGTCCTATGTCGAGATCAAACATAACAAAAGCTAAATAAAGCAGCATAGTAACAAGCAAGGAACATTTTATTGTATGCATATTCTCAAAATAAAAAAAAAAACCCACAAAAACAGAACCCACAAATAAGAGCAAAGAACAAAGGTTTCTAGCTCTCTGGGGTAGGCCGGGCACCAAATCTTATAGAAACGTAGCTAGTACAAAACAAAATGTACTAATCAACATTGCCCTTTACTTCCCCTTCAAAAAAGACTATAGAGAAAAACACTGGAGTCTAATATAAATTTGCTGCACAATTAAACTTCAATGCGCTCAAAGAGTTATTGTATAGTAAACTGCAGAAAAGAGAGTAGGCATTTAATAATCTGCTCACAATCAAGAATTAAGCAACAGCCACTTGGAAAAAGACCGCGCATATTACTTAGTTGTTAAATCTCGCTTGCAGGGAGCAGATGGTTATCATGAATAGTTTTCTTACATTTTGGGGAGACACCAGGTCCAGTCATGGAAATAGAAAGGAATTTAATAAAGACTGATTTTAGAAAATCTCTCCTTTGCCTAAGCCACAATTTATTATCTACCTATTAGGCTGGTCTCAACCATTTTAAAAAATGTAGATACCAACAGACCAAATTCTTTAGGGAGAGACAGACTGACATGTTCCACAACAGGATCGTGTGTTTACATCCTCCAGGCAGCAGGGCAGAACTTGGACACATCAAACATCAGAGACTTACAAGACCGGCAACACTGTGCCTCCAGGCAATCAACTGGGCCTGTTTTGTGACTGTCTAAGGTAAATTTAAAATGAAAACCTGAAATCCCCTTGTCGCCTGCAGACGAGATCTAATCATCAGGACCCTCTAACATTCTGAACTTCTCACTCCCTATTTGCATAAATTAGTGCAAGAATTCAGGAATGGAAAACCCAATAAAGTGTACTTGAAGACCTGTGTAGTGGCGGGATGGGCACTGAGCAGGTGGCAGAGGGCAGAAAATCCTGAAGATCATTTACCCTGCAGCCTGTTATTTTCAAAGACCCGTGGAAGAGACATGCAGTCTCTAATAAGGCCTCACCAAAAGCCTTGCTACGCTTTCCTCAGGTGTCTGTCATGAATTTTCAGTCAAAACAAATATAATTTTGCATACCTCTGTCAAAACTATTACCCCATTTGCTACCCACCATGTGCCAGAGACGAGGCTGCCATGTATGTTTTTAAAAAGAAACCGGCGATAGCTTGACAGCGCTGAGGCTTTAAATATCTTGAGTTAAAAATAAAGGGCAGAGTATTAGATGAAAAGACAAAAGAATTGGGTACACATGCATTGGCTGAACTCAGGGCCGACACACTGTGCGTGTCCAGGGGAATATATTCACAATAAAGTCTGTGGCAGGAAAGAGAGAGTAGAAAATCATAAAAAACAAACAAACCGGTGACTGGCTTGGGGGTGGAGCAGATGACAGAGAATCAACTCCTTGCCTTTCCTGATATCCAGGCCCAGTTCTCCAAATACCCATTTCCTCCCTGACTCATGGTGCTTCACCTGAAGGCAGCCTCCTATTTGCTACAAAACATGGGGGGGGGGGGTTGGGGGATGGGGACAGGAGGGGTAAGTATATTCATTTCTTTTAATTTAAAAAGTGTGAAAGTTATGGCATCCTCTCAGCAGCTGTTGTGTTCTGCACAGTCCAGGGACATTAAAAAAAAAACAAACTCGCATTTTTACACAAGTTACAGGAAAACAAAACCACAGTCCAGCTCTCCCCCATACAGCAAGGACCCGCTCACATTCTAGTCTCCTTTCAGGACTTTCATAAAAGCCCAGGGTAGCACATTTGTGTGGGGTGAGCCCTGACTCAACTCAGCTGACACTCAGCATTGCTGCCCGCAGTTGCCGCCACGCGGCTTTCCTTCCAGACTCTGTCACCTGCCAGGAGCAGGTATTTGGCAAGGGGCCTAGGAAACATTTTTAAAGGAAACATCTTTTTCAGGAGATAAAACACCTCTCAAGGCAAATCAATCTTTAATGCAGCTCATTCTAGAAGAGACGGGCCGCCCTCCTCCCTGGAGCTGTGTCACCTGGCCTTTGAGGGGGACAGGCTGTCTGACATCGCTGCCCTCTCCGCTGCTGTTACAGGGCAGACTCCGTCCCTTCCTTGAGTCACGCAGGACCGCTGTGTTGTTGTTGCCATCCCAACACTCAGAGCCGTGAGTACTGGCGAGCCTTTATCCCTCTAAGACGCACAAAGACGTGGCTGCCATCTAACTCTGAATTTGTCCTTAAGCCAAGCAGGCCTCTCCCCACTCACTTCCAGGGCCCTGAGCGGCGGCGCCTTCCCACTGTTAACAGATCTGTGAGGATGGAAGGAGGCTCCCCACCCCTCCACAGCCTGGTAGCGAGGGTCAAAAGCTTATAAAACGCCATTTGGTACAAGAGATTCTGCTAATTGCGACCAGGGCGATGGCCAAGCTGGGGGTCCCGCGGAGGACCTGGTCACAGACGGCTGCTCCGGTCACGATTTCCCTGCAGGAGACGTTAAGGAGGATCAGTTACAAAGAAAAGTCGCATCGTTTAGGAAGCTTTGGAGTCTTTTCTGAGGTGTGTGTGCAATCGCCACCTCATGGGGCTTGTGTGGGCCGGACACTTGGCTGCTCAGGCCCCGCAATCCAGGCTGCGAGGAGGAAGCGCGCAGCCGCTGCAACTCCGTGGTGACAGCACCATGAAAACGGTTTGTCCTTGGGCGCTTCTGGGGGACGGGGAAGGACGGGTTTGCTGGGTGACCCGGGCCGTTCACGACCCACTGTGTAATGAGGGTCTGGCGCGCCGCGGGCACAGACGGGGCCACCTGGAGAGAACAGCGTCTTTAGCAGCCAGTCCCGGGGTGCAGGGCATCTCCACTTTCTGCCAGCACGAGGGGAATCTCTGGGGTCTTCGGCTGCTACTGCCCCCCCTTGAGAGAGAGAGAACGAGTCCTCTTACTCCCTAATTCCTGCTGCGGCCAGAGAGCCACGGGCCCTGGGGGGCCGCAAGTCTGGGGGCGGGGGCTTGGGCTGGGAACTGCTTTAAGGAGGTTCCGAGCAGGAGCCGCTTTGTCCCCGCTTCCCTCTCATACACTCATCCACCAGGTCACTCCCAGCACCTTCGCTCGCTCACCCTTCCTGAAGGTTTGCTGCAGTCATCCTGCTCCTTGGGGACCCTCTACAGGTGAACCGTTTCCATAAGTCCCCACAGGTAGTTCCACAAATGCCCAAAAACACACCTTCACATTTTTTTCTTTTTTAAAAATGTCAATTTGTTTTTAGTGGCTACTGTCCGTTCACGAGACAGTGAGTGGAGCGACAGGGCGGGGCTGTGTGGCGAAGGGGGCGGCCGGCCGGCTCCGGGTCAGCGTGGAGAAAACCCCACCGCCAGGCTGCAGCCCACCACGGGCGTCATGTCCCAGACCTGCAGGAGAGAGGAGGCCAGAGGCCGAGTCACGCCGAGAACAGCAGAACCTGCCCAGGGGTCGAACGACCGCCCTCCCCCTGCACCGCACGGCCGCCTCCGGTTATGCCGTGAGAAGGCGACAGCTCTCTAAAACCCAACAGAGCTTTTCGGTACAATCTCAACACCTGAAAATCATATAATAGCTTATGATTAAATTCAATTAATAAAATCCCACAGGGAGAAGCCCATTTTTCCGCTATAAAATAAAATGTCAGTTTCACGCCTCAGGAGTGGCTCTGCGCAGGAACCAGCCTAGTGGCTCTGGCATCGCCAACGTGGTCATTTCCTACAACTCGGAAGCCCCCTTCCCAGTAGGAAGGCACATCAGCGAGGGCGTGAAAGACCAGAGAGAGGGCCAGCCATGGCCCAGGCCAGCCGGGGAGGAGCACCCTGGGCCAGTGGTCGAGGGGTCCAGGCCCAGCGCAGCTGGCTCGGAAAGTCAGTGTGGCAGAGGGAAGCCACCGGGAGGGGCCCCTGCCAAGGGCACGAAACTTAAGAGGATGCACCTTGTCACGCAGGGTTTCCTGGGCCAGGCTGCCGATCAGACGGTGAGACTGGCCTGGAGCCACAGAAGCCGCCCCAGCCCAGTGATGGAGCGCTCTACTGGGAGATGCCAATGGGGCAATGCGGCAGGTTACCTTGACCACGCGGTCGGTCCCACAGGTCACCATCAGTCCCCTGGCGACATCCATGGCCATGTGGGAAATATTATGCTTTCCTTCATGAAACGTTGCTAAGGACGTCCGGCTAGCAGAGAGAGAAGAGACCACTGCAACTCACCCGCTGTCCCCCAACCGGGCAACAGAGAGGAAACACAGTGACAGCATCAGCGGCCTCTAAGGCGGTGGCTGCCTCTTAAAGACCTACTAATTGAGGGGAGATGGAAATCTTGGGGAGTTGCAAGACTATTGAGAGGATTTTATAAAACTTCCCCCCAAAATGGGTTTGTACATTCTTGGAAAGGAGAACGTATTCCCAGACATAAAAACAGGAACGTCTCATGCAGCAGAGGAAGTGCAGGGCGGCCTGCAGCCTCCAGGCCTGAGTGCTGGCAGCGCGTGCCCAGCACCAGACCCCTCAAACCCCACACTTGCCCACCCTTGCAGGGCGGCCGAGACCGCTTGGCAACATGGCCCCCTGCCAAAATGTGCTGTCAGCCCGTTTCAAAGACGAATCGGAAGGGGAGGTCAGGAGGAGCCTGGTTCCGCCCGGATTCACCTGCTGGGTCAGGCTGGGAAGGAAACAGATAGTCTCCACACAGTTACAACAGACTGCTGTGACTGACTTTTGTGGCAGAGAGAATACTGGTTGCTGGAGTCTTCACAGATCTGCAGGAGGTGTGAGCCCACACAGACGCCCCATGCTGGGCGAGCCGGCCTCACTGCTGCGTCCAGGGACACGGGATGGGGCTCAGGAATGTCCTCGGGAAGCGGGGCAGGGCTCCGCTCGTGTGTGGGAGAAACGTGTCTTAAGTCAGAGCCAGGATAGAAACCTCACCTTAGAAACCACTCATGGGTGGGGAAGGGACAAACGGGTGGGTGGAGGGCATCCACGTCATTTCACAGTAAGACAACGACAGGCAGACACTCACTCCTCGTCCTTGATGGAGTCGTAACAGGAGTCACACATCCGGACCTGGAACTCGAATCCCATGATGGGGTAGCTGGAGCGCTTGCTGCTGCACTTGCCGCACACGGCCTGGCCACACTTCCTGCAGTGGTGCTGAGGGCCAGAGGGGGAGGGAGTTACTTTCTGCTTTAATGCACACGGTTTCCCTGCAGAGGGGAGGGAGCAGGAGCGGAAGACGTGCCTTGAATTATAATCACCAATTGAATGCATCAAAACACGAAAGGTAGGCACTTTCAAAGCTGGCTGAAATATGGATTTCCAAACAACCCTGCTTCACTGGCTAAATACTGCTTTTCACTCATTTGAATGATGTCTAGATGTCAACAACATTACCAAAAAAATGTTCAAGTTCATATGGGAGTCCAATGACTGGAGATATCAGGAAGGACAATTCCTATCAGAGCAAAGTTCTCAAATCAAATTTCAAGTGTCGCATGCCCTCATTAAGAAACAAATACCCATCATCATTTGTTCTACTGTTTCTTTTAGTCTTTCACACTGTCATTCTGGAAATAAGCTTCAAAAACATTCCAAAGAGCCCAGTTGTTATTATAGATTTTGGCATATTCTATCTTTCCTGTCTCTTCCATTAGTTAATTCAGAAGAGAAAATGCATTTCGTCATGTTTCTTCAGACGCCTCCACCAGTCACAATGCGGCTGTCCCCCCCGGCATGCACTGTGAGAACGAGGCCGATGCTAAGACTCAGGTGAGCATTAGAAAGTTATGGGTGCTGAACTACTCCTACATCCCTGAGCCTCGGTTAGACCTTGCTGTAGGGCAGCTTTGTGAGTAGGATGAAAGAAAGTTTATTAACACACGCGAACTTAAAGCAAGTCCCTCACAGAAGTGTAACCCATAATAAAAGGCATAAAGTCAGCATTTTTCACTTACCTGCAAGGTCACATTCACCCTGAGTGAGTGGCTACCTTCAAGGCTGCTGTAGAAATATATTTTTTTGCAGAACTTTAGTATGACATGATTACCTAGCGATAAGAATATCTTTGAAATCTAGAGGCTATTTGGGATATGTTTCTATGATTTAAAAAAAAAAATAGTACTTAAGACATGCTTAATAAAAAGGCTCTGGGTAGATGTTTATGGAGCAATTCATGAATGATTTAAAATTCTCAGTATCAGTGCATCCCAGGGAGGCTGCCCTGTTGCTTTATACTCTGATGGTGAAAGCATAAGGCCTATAGCCATCTGCCCTCGTTCATTCTAACTTTGCGCTTGGCCAGTGTGAAGACTTTAACATGGCACAGTCCTAAACTAAAAGATCTTCATCTGTTTACAAGCAGGCTCTTGGGGTCCTCTGCATCCTCTTTTCCAGTGCAGGAAAAGGGAGGGAACCGTGAGGGAGGCGGGGTCTCGCTGCCCCAAGAATGGTCTTGTCACCGTTAGCCCCACAGGAACCGTGACACGCAAGTGCCGGAGTTAACAGGGAAGAGCGCGGCTCCAAACAAAAGAACAGGTCAGTCACACAAACACGCAAGGTACATGATGGACCCAGCTCGGGTCCGGCGCTGGCTGCTCACCTGTCTGAGGCCCAGAGTCTTTGTGTCCCACATCTGCTTTATGTTCCAGAAAAAGGGCTGCTCGCATTTCTGACATGAGTCACTTTCCAGCCATTGCGGAGCCTGGGGGAGAAAGCCACACCACCGTCAGCTTCTCTGCACGCCTGCCTTGCTTTTCAGAAATCTGTGACAGTCTCAGGCCTTGCTGAGGTCAGCATTTTTAAAAAGCCCTCCATGCTTTAGAGCTGTTGCTGTTCAATACCGTGCGTGCTGAGTAGTAACTTTAATGATGTTCACGGGGATTGTCCAAATATTAATCTACAGATGGCAGGCAGTGATTGAATTTTCACAGTGAATGCTTAAGAGGCATCTTTATGTGTGTGTTTTTATGCCAAAGATGTTTGACATCTCTATCCAGCTGAGTTAAAAACCCTTTTCTTGCAGAATATGGTGAACTCCCACCTGGGAAGGCTTGTGCGGTCATGAGGTGACTGAAATGAGAGTTCTTGGGGGACATACTGCCAGACAGACCTGCCACCATCTTCTTTGGCAGCCCCTGAGCAGGCCCCCCTCCCTGTGGGCTACCTGCATGCCTCCCCACCCCAGCCGTGGCCTCTGTGCTGTCATTCTTCATACCCATCTTCCACCCAACTAGCCACTGAGTTGCCCGCTCCTCTATCCATTCATCTTCACGCATGCACAGCCCTCACAGAGAATGGGCTCGATGGATTTTTCTTGAAACGGGACAATTCAAGTCTCAAACTTCCCCTCTTGAGAATGCAGAGAATATAGCCCTTAAAAGAGAGGCTGACCTTGATTACAAGATCAGCCTATTAAAAGGTTTGAATTAACCTCAACTGCTTGCCAACACACATGTGTACTAAAAAAGGTGGCAAATCTTGGTTTTTATAAAGCTAAACCAAAGATCATGAAAGAAGAAATAATCTCTTGATGTCGTAAGTAAAATCAAGAAGCACATATCTGGTCAGAGGGGACGATGAAGGGAGGGTCACAGGAACCGAAACACAGTGAGTCTCGTAAGATGTGTAGTCAAGACAGCACTTCAGAGATTCTACTGAACTGCTGGTTGAAGGGTGAGTGCCCCTAGTTCTTTATTTGGCTTCCTATTGCATCAAAACTTTTGGACTTCCTAGTTCTTATTTTAGATCTGCCACTAGAAATATTTCTATGTATGACAGCTACTGTTGGAAAGGTCGTTCTTCCTGGGGGCCTTGGGGGTAGGCACCCACAAACAGAATGAAGGGGGCTGAGATAGGAGAGGCTTCTTTAAATAATGAGGGAGATGTTGGAAATGAGAAGGGAGGACAGGACAGAGAGAGAGAGGAGGGGTCACAAATTATTTGTTTCTGCGGTTGGTGGAGGAGAGAAGCTGGTTTGGGGGACGCTGCTGTGAACAAGGTCCCTGAGAAAGATGGTTCCGTGGGGGATCTGTCCCCGTGACACCAGTTGCAAGCGCAACAGTCATGTGGCAGCAAAACCAGGTACCCACCTGCTCACAAAGGCCACGTTCCAGCGTGAGCCGATACACACATCCACGTGCGTGCTGATGTACAAGGTGAGTTCAAGTACATGCCTCATGAGGTTGTGAGGGTTAAATGAGTTAAGATTTGTGAGAGGTTAAGATTCGTGAGGGGTTAAGCAGACAGCCTAGCATTCCAACTGTTCTAGTGCCTTAGTTCATTTCATCTTTATCACAACCCCAGGAGACACAGAGAAATAGTATTCCAGGTTTACAGACAAAGAAACCGTGGCCCAGGATGGACGTGACTGTCTGTGATCAGTTACAAGCTTGAGGTCCTGGCAGGTGTGGGAGTCCAGCCCTGGATGTCTAGGCTCGATCCAGCCTCTGTGAACGGGTCCTATTTATTTCAACACGCCAGGGTCTCTCCACGGATCTGGGGTCTGAACTGAGTCTAAGCCTCACAGAGCACAATTCTCAGAGTTCAGGAAAGAATAGTACTTTGCTGAGCAGGAGATCAGAGGGACACATGGGAGGCAAAAATGCTTAAAATAATGTCAGATAAACTAAAATCAAAATACGAAGTAAACAGGCTTTTTGGAATCTAAGTATAAGAAATATCCACAACTTTATTCCTTTAAATACTCAGGGCTGTGGTAAGCTAGCCAGGGCCATTTGTTATATGCTTATTCTCCGAGGAGGAAAGTAAATTTACTTTGGACAAAAAGAGCAAAAGAGAACATTAACCAACTCTTCTGACTGTTTCACTGTCTTTTCTATATCCTGTTCCCTCTCGCTGAGCCAGACAGACGATGGCACCAACACTGCTGACCACTGCAGTGACCCAAGTGTATTCTGTGTGCTATGCCACACACGCCATGATCGACTAGATTCAAATGAAGTTCTCATTTCCAGGGGATCTGTTCTAGTTATTGTGACTTGCTCACTTATGTTTCATCTCTCGTTACAAAAAGGAACGCTCTAATTACAAGCCAGCAGCTGAGCAGGCTTGCCTCTAGCTGCCAGTGTGGAGGCCGAAAGCCAAGAAGGTAGGAAACACTGCTGTCAGCATCTCCAGGTGACCTGGGAAGACAGTCCCTGCAAGCACCGTGGGGCTGGAGACTGTAGGGTGATTCTCTGTTCTGGCCAACAGAAGCCCCACAACTGTGCAGATCTCTAACACAGGGCAGAATCTTACAGTACAGGGACTGCTGACCTCTGTATTCCATTTACTGGTAAACCACAAAAAAAAGCTACTAAAAGTAATGCATTTTTTTACACAATCTGCTTTTCCATCAACACTGCAACCATCAAGACAGATAAGCATGGTGTGAAATGTGTCAGCAGCCAGAGAGCCTGTGATGTGGGGGTACCCTGCCATACACAACTAAAAGGACAAGAACAGCTGGCACAGGATAGACCTTGAACAACAGGACTGTCTTTTCTTCCCCTCGATGTACTAATGTACTCCATGTACAAGTGACCTTGACGGTAGGAACCTGCTTCTATTTTCCATTTTTTAAAAAAATGGAATGAGATGAGAATGGATGGGAAAAGGGATTGAAACCCAACTTGATATAAACACTGAGAAGAACCACAAGGGCCCCGGGGCCCCTGGAGGCTCCTCCCTCAAGCTCAGGATACAGATCTTTGGAGCTTTCTGCTCTCTCAGAGCAAGACGGCCTGTCCCTGAAACACGACAGGCCTAGAGAGCAGGAAACTGAAGAGCCTACTAGCTGTTCTTGATGCTAGTAACTAATAACTTGATGAATATAAAAACTGGTGTGTCCAAATAAACCCTTGAAAAGAAATTATTCCGCATTCTCTCATATCGTGCAAAATTATACGTTTACTAACAAATTACCCTAAGCCACACCACAAGATGTTTGGAACATTCAAAAAGAGAAACGAGGCAACAGAATTGTAATCAGGATTTTTCTCTAATTGGTTAATCTTACAAGGTCACCAACACAACTAGCAATTGGTGCCTTTCTGCAGTATGGACAACCTTTAACTATGCATAGACTGGTCAATCTCCTTTGCAAGATACAAGCTCCCTGCAGGTAAGAATCTGTGTGCGGGAACACTACAGCCTGCAGCATGGAGATGAGTGATGTTGCCATTCTTTGTGTACTAGGCCCCGAGGGTACGCCTGCTGGGGTGTGCTAGAGAGGCTGGACTGTGGCCCTGGTCAGCCAGCAGGGCAGAACCCCAGAGGCCAGAGAGGGTGAGGCTGTCTCCCTGGGCTGCCTGGCTTGCTCAGCGACTTACCTCCTCTCTGCTCACATCCATGTTCCACACTGCGATGCCACCGTCCGAGGAACAGGAGACGAGCTGCCTCGTGAGCTGGAGGTAGCACAACGACTGCACCCGGTCACTGCGAACAACACAGCGATTCACGCTGGCTCGAGTGGGGAAACACAGGAGCCTCTTCACTTAGGCCCCAGCCCTCTCCACCCGTAGGGTCAGCCCACTGACTATCTGGGAAGGACTGTGGACTCGAGGAATACTTGACTTGGCATCCTGTAATCTCTCACACAGACAATCATGTCTATGAAATAAACACCACTTCCAAATCGGGGGTTAAGAACTGCAGGTCCGAGACAAGACACGGGCTACAGTTGTCTGAACCGTCCGGGGATTTCTTTCTTGGGTGCATAGGATTTACCTACTTGTTTCAGAAACCACGATCAAAGGAGGCGTAACTCCTTCAGAAGCCACCAAACAAGGAACTAAACAGCATGGCAGCTATCAGGGTGTACATGTGTACACACATGTGTGCACGCGTGCACACACACACACTCCAACGGGTGAAGACATCTGTCCCCTTCCTGCATTGTCAGATGCTCCTCTGGGTGCCCCAGGACACACTCTCCTCCCCAGCCTGTGGAGCTGTGAGGGAATCTTCCCTGACGCTCTCTGCAGGAAGCAGTCACCGCCTAGCCAGCAAGGAGGGAAGGGGAAGGAACGTTTTCATGACCAGAAAGCAGGGGCCTGAGTATGCCAGTGTCACAGCTGAGGTGCACAGGACTGTAACGTCACCACATGCTACTCAACGTAACAGGTTTTAGAATTTAAAATAAGGCAGGCATCCAGTTCAAGCAGGCTTAGATGTGTACACAAGCCTCCGTGATCCAAGCCCTCCCTGCAGCCGCTGACCCATGTGTGCCTCAAGCAGGTACTTCAACCCATGATCCCTTGGAACAGAAAGGTGGGGAGCACTCTGGATTGAGAAGGAAAAAAATCCTGTGCTCCTATTTGCTACAGAACCCCAGACATTCGGGACCACAGAAAGGCACCTACACATGGACTGAAAGGCCCATGCCACTGTCCTCTTAAAACATGGAACACGGGCTGAGAGGGCTTCCCCTAGTGGCGCAGCGGTTGAGCGATGGGCTGCGAAGCTGCCCGCAGCCTCTGCAGTGCCGGTTTGATCCCCAGTCACCAGAGAGGGTCCCACATGGAGCGCAGACCTCTCCTGTATAGCCCGCTGCTCCCCTCAGCAGTGTACTTCATCACTCTGCCTGTTCTGTTCCCCGCTCTGGCTCTGGTGAATTCTCTCACCCTCCCACGTTTCTGACTGTACCCAGTGCTTGTATAAATAAATAAATAAATCTTTAAAAAAAAAAAAAAAAAATCACGGGCTGAGAGAACGCAGCGTCGGAACACCCCGTGCCCCCCCTCCCCCGTGCCCACCGCCCCATACACACTGGTGGCCCTGGAGCAGCAGCATGCGGCCCTTCCGCCCGCCAATGTCCCACATGATGATGCTGTTGTCTGAGGCGCCGGAGAAGAGCAGCCGCTGCATCGGGTCCCACCAGAGGCAGGCGACGCTACCTGTGTGGGGAGAGGGCGACATGTTATGTCTTGAGGGCCTCACAGCAGCTCTGTGGCGCCAGGCGTCCCCCAACACTCGGCCGCGAGGCACAGCAAAGACACAGCACCCCCATTCCCATTCCAGACTCGGGGGTGAGCTTGCCAGCTGTGCAAACCACTCTGACAAGGACTTCCAAAGGTTATTTTCCTCGCGCTGCACTTAAAGAAAAAATTATAAAACAGCTGCATATGAAAGTCTAGTTTAGAAAAAGTTTTTGGCAGAAAAAATGATAGCTGTTACTATTTAACGAGGAAAGGTAGTGAGGTTTCCTGTGGAAACACCGAGACAAACACCGAGATTACTCCAGGTCTCCAGCAGCCTGCGGGCCCTCCACCTGAAGGCCTATGTCTCACAAAATTAAATGCCTCAAGAAAAAAGTTGTGAGTGCACAGAGACTTTAAGGTGAAAAACTCCAAACCTTCCACTTCACACTACTGGCTAAACATATCAAATTTGATACCCTTGGGAAAATCTTGCTTTCTACAGATTTCTCTTTCAACAGAGCTCTTCGTTGTTCCACTGAGTGTTGCTTGCCTAGAAAAAAATCGTTAATAAAAACTTAATTAAATAGCCAGCCACACCAGCTAATAATATTTTTGGTGAGTATATAGAAAAGCAATGAAGCCACATTCAAAAACAAAAATAAAAACTAGCTTCTCCCAGAAACTTAACAAAATTGAAAAAAGTATCCTGTAAAAGTGGCTTTGGGGATCAAATCTATGTGAATCCTGACCAAGCCTGCTGAAGCCAGGTCCCAGACACCTCAGCTGGTGGCCAGTGGGAGGTAACATGGTCTTCCATAGACACACTAGTAGCTTCCAGAACCTGTTCTGTCCCGAGCAACCCACAGAAGAATGACCCTCCCTCATCACCAGATAGTGGGGTCTTCCGGGACCATGCTTTCCTGCCCAAATCTATTCTGACTTAGTGTTCTTTCTCCTCTACAAGCTCCCTCATCTTTTGAGAGACTCAGTCTCAGCTAAAAAGACTAACTGGCAAGCACAGAGTACATTTTGTCATATTTAAAGCCCTATTTTCATAAATAACTCCATCAATTTCTTTCAACAAATCTCTCAACTCTTCCATCTACACCAGATGGCCTCTAAGATTCTAACTCGTTACCCCATAATAGCCAGTAGCGATCTGAACGCCTTCCGCTGAGCCTTGCTAATTCTCTGCAGCCTAGAAGCAATGCCAGCCGACCCAGGAGACCCCTTTCCTCACTGCCTGGCCGGGAGGCTTCCTGAGCAGAGGCTGAACCAGAGCACACACTCCTTCTAACTATTGTCCTAACAGGTCTTGCTCTATGTCCCAGAAACTGCAGATTAAATTAATAATAGTAATAACCAAGATAAAAAATTCTTCCAAAGTTCTGTTTACAAGAAAATTTGGAAAGAGCACCTGAAAATCATTTAAACTGGTCAACAAAACAGAAAGCATTTTCCACACAAGTATGTAGAAGATTTTGACAATATGAGACCCTAGCTGACACCCTTACCTTCACAGACTGTTCACTCTTTGAGATCTAAATCCCACAGCTGGGCCTCCTATCACCACCACAGCCTGAGTTCGATCCCTGGCCAGGGAGCTGTCCCACATATGGCACAGCAGATCTCTCCTGTCTTTCCGCTGCTCCCCTCAGCAGTGTATTTCAGTAGATCCACCTGTTCTGTTCCCCATTCTGTCTCTGCTGAACGCTCTCACCCCCAGCACCTCAGGCCTCCACCCCAGTTCTTCTATGCAAAATAAAATAAAATAAAATAAACCCCCCACTGACAGAGCAGACTGAAATCTAACAGACCATAAGGAATTGCTCATTCATGAAATCACGAGCTGAGAATGAAACTTGGCCACCCTGACTAGGAGGACACACTGCAGGGGAAGCACAGCCTACCTTCGTGTCCTTTGAGTGTTGTGATAACCGAACAGGTGTTCTGCTCAAGCTTCAGCAGGGTGATCTGTCCAGAGTAATCGCCAACAAAAGCATACTGAGTGTCAAAATCGTATCTGTGGAGTAGCGGTCAAGGAGACATAACGCAACCCATCTCAAAGGCAGACAACAGAAAATGTGCATTTTAAAGAGAAGGAGCACAGACCAAAACCTGTAATGAGAAAAGAAATACCCAAGGTAAAATCACACAGAGTGTAAACGTTGGAGGAAAAAGAACGGCTGGAATTACTAGGAAGATGCATATTCATCGTTCAGCAGGAATTTGTTCACTGCTGTAGAAGCTGGAACTAAAAGAAGATAAACGCTGATGAAGACAGGCCCGAAAACAAGTATTTAGAATCAGCTTATAGCAAAGTATGAGACTGTAAAAAAGCTCAATAACAAGAAAGCAAGAAAGAACTGAACAAAAAGGCTACCACGAAGTAGCTGTAGAAATAATGTAAAACTGACAGCAAATGCAGGACACGAACCCCTTTATTTTGGTCTACATGACTTAGCTTTAAGTGCAGGGGGTGGTTTACTTTCAAGTCTTGTGGACAGTTTAATCATCCAAAGGGCAGTTCTTTGGGGTAGCAGAAAATTTTAAAATATATTATCTAAGGGTAACCACTCATTACTTTCTCAATCACTTTTTAGCCATAAAACTCATGACAAATCAGTGGTTTATACACAATAGGATAAAATACCTTTTAAATTCCAAACACTGGTCAACAAGAGCACTGCTGACTGGGTATAATATGTCATTACATATTATCATGTGTAATATGTGACTGTGCTCATTTCTATAACGCATATGAAAAGCCAAACACAAAACATTTGCTTAGCTAATTAGGTCATGACAGATCTGAATATTTCCCTTGTTTCACTCTGAAGTGTATGGCACTATTTTAAATATCTCATGCTGCACAGTCAATTGTAGCAAACATTTTTTCATAAAGACTTTCTATGGGGAAAAAAGGCCTTTATGGAGAAGGGCATGACTTGCCGTAGCTGGCAGCCCTGACCGTGCCATCTCTAACCCACAAATTTGCAGGTGGCCAAAGGAGGGCGGTTATGTGTGAGACAAATGCCACATCATAGTAGGAAATTTTTAAAGTGGCAATTTCTTAACAGTTTGGGAGCTTCCTGAGGCAACTTTGAGAGCACTGTTAGGATGACGAATCCTTTCCAACAACAACAAAAAGTTCAATGAAAGATTTTTAAGTTTTATATTACGCTCTGCAGGGACACCAATTTGCTCTCTTGCAGGGTCTGCAAATAACCAATTATTATAAGATTAATTCCTTTTTTTCCTTTACCCAATAAAAAGTCTTTTCTTTCACTTCAAAATTCAAAGGAATGAGGAGAGGGGATTTACATTAGTCAGGTTTAGATTTTCCATTTTATATTAAAAACAGATAGCATTTCCCCACAAAGAACAGCAATTCACTCCATTATTTTTAATTTTATACCAAAGAGAAGTAGATACAGAAATGCCTGGATATTATGGGGGTTTGCGGGGTCCATTCAGACTTTGGATCTCAATGCACAGCTGAGGGTCAGACTCAGAACGACACGCCGAGACAGTGGTGCAGCAGGCGCGACCCCTGGAAGGATACTGCAGACAGGACGCCCAGGCGGAGAAGATGTGCCTGCCCAGCAGGCTCCCACTGCGCGTGCACATCCAGCTGAGACACTTGTCATGGCCGGTGCTGACCACCCACTCCGTGGCCAAGCTGAAGATGATCGCAGACACCCGGTTCTGATGAGCTGGGGGACAGAAAGGGACAGTCTGTGCCCTTCAGAATCACATCTCCTGGGATGAGGACTGAGGGCCCCTCTGAATCTGGAGCCTCCCAGTCCAAATTCCTAAGTGAATTCCTCCTGGCAATGCCTGCATTCTGTGCTCACGTTTCAGCTAGCCTGCTCTGCTGCGACCACAACCCAGGCCTCCCACCCCGGTCCTCTGGCTCCTGCGTGAAGACAGCAGAAGCTACAAATCACTGCAGGATAATATTCAAGAGGCTTCTAAAAAGAATGGTATGTTGTTTAGGACAACATGCATGGACCTGGAGGGCATTACGCTAAGGGAGGCGAGTTAGACGGAGGAAGACAAACACCTATGACCTCACGCCTGTGGAAGGTAAGGAAACAGAACAGACAAACAAAACAGCCAGCTCTTAAACTACAAGAGAGGTGGCTCTGAAAGGGAAGGGGCAAGGAGGGTGAGTTGGAGAAAATGGTCAAGTAAGTGGGGGAGGTGGAAACACATCTTCAGGGCGAACACAGAGTAGTCCGTGCAGGTGCAGAGTCCTAAAGTTGCACGCCTGAAGCCTTCATGTCACCCACCAATCACTACTTCAGTAGATTTTTAAAAAGATTAATGCTCAAGAAGGACTTGAATCAAATATAGATTTAAAACAACTACCAATGAGTTCCATAAGGAAAGCAGCGGTCTTAAAAGAACAATGTTTTCATTATATTTAACTTTGATGCTTTGACCGTTTAGAATACCCTGACATTGTACAGAGAGCAACTGTGATTTTCTGAAATTAAATAGGTACAGGCATTTTGTTTCCAGCATAATTTCTGTCTGTACACACAAACTTACTGTTATAAAGACAAAATAATTGCTAAGTTCCCTATTCCAAAAGAAGGGCTGAGCGTGAGGAAGGCGTTCCACTTATTACCTAGCTTCTAGAATGTTTCTATTTTCTGGTTGACCATAAACCATGGTGGGGCAGCGACCCATCTTCTACTTCATCACGCAGGAGTCCATGCAAAGAGCAGATGTTTCACAAGTGCCCAGTCTGATGACTGAGGTTAGAAGCCAGACAGGGAAACTGTAGAACTTACTCTCAGCAGTAGAAGCACTGAGGGACTGCTTCTCCCCAAGCCTCTGTGACCCTGGGGCTCACCCAGTGCTAGGCAGTTATGCTGGACTTTAAACACTCAGGTAGGAACCTGAAATTTAAAGGTTCTGGTGGCTGTTCGTCCTCAACACTCAACACCAATAAGCCAAGTCCCAGGTAGTGAGAACCGCCATCAGCTGACTCGGTGGCAAAGTGGGCCTTCTGCTTCTTTAGTTTCAGTGCTTTTTCTGATTTACACAAACACGGGGTGTGTGTATGTCCACGTTCAGAGAGCAAACTGAGAGGCAAACAGATTAAATGCCCAAACCAGCCACAGAGTAACCTCGCTGACTTCAAACACTGCTGGAACTAAGCCTGTGGGGGGCCGCCTCAGGCCAGAGGCCAAGCTCGTTCCCTCTGTCTGTGTGAAGATGTGGGAGCAAACGGCCATCTGTCCTCTCTGGGGAAGAATGCTCCTATTTCTAATCCTTTGTTTTGAAGTGTCCTGTCTTTTATGACAGTGTGGTGAAATATGGTCATGTGTGTTTTGCATCATTTTTATTTTATAAACTGTTCATTGAGGCAAAAAAAAAAAAGCTGACAATCCTATCTTATGTTTTTTAAAAAATGTTACTAGTCAATGAAATGTAAAGGTTTTGAAGCCACTGCAAAAAATTATGTGGCCTTACAGCCCATAATAAACCTAAAAAACCAAAATAGGGATCAAAACACCACTAAACATGTAACTATGAAATCATCTGACAAAGTATTCAATGATGAAATAACTTATTAAAAAATTTGCCTTTTGCTAGAAATACTGACTGGATAGATATAAACTTCATAAGGAACTTAAGAATTCTTGATTATTTCAAGATAAACCTATGAGTGAGAGTTGGTAAGTCAGAGTCGTTTCTATTGTTTTAATTTTTAAAAGATAGTTCAAAAACTAGGGGTAACACTGTAACACTTGGACATTATTCGACAACACAAGATGGGAGCATCTATTATTCATTTTCACAAAACAGTTTCGCCAACAACATAATCCATGTCTAGCAGTAATTACATCACTTTAAAATTTGGAGCAGGCCTCCCCAGTGGCACAGCGGGTTGAGCGCAGCGCTATGAAGCTGTCCACAGCCTCTGCAGCGCCAGTTCGATTCCCGAGCTGTCAGCAGCCTCTGCAGCACCAGTTTGATTCCCGGCCAGCCAGGGAGATTCCCAGATGGTGCGGCACACCTCTCCTGTCTCTTCCGCTGCTCCCCTCAGCAGTGTACTTTGGTCCTTTTGCCTGTTCTGCTTCCTGCTCTGTCTCTGGTGAATTCTCTCACCCTCCCGTGCCTCTGGCCTGTACCCCAGTGCTTGTATAAATAAATAAATCTTTAAAAAATAAATAAATAAAATTTGGAGCAGATGACACAGTATTTATGGAGCAGTAACTTGTGCTTCCTATTAAAATTCAAAGGTCTTTTCCATATCCTATTATCAGGCCAGACTTCACAAAAATGAACAATGTATACCAAAAAATATCAGGACTTGAAGTTTCACTTTATCCACAAACACAAAATAACAAATTTATAAATGTATGGTGAAGATGATGAGAATAATTGTTATGTGTGAAATTTCTAGGAGCCAGATAATTGATCTGATGGGAGCCCCCAAATTAACCAACCTGCTTTGGTTTTGCAAGTTCAAGCTCAAGTTAACATCAGACACTTGCTTTCATGAAGTGAAAAGATGCATGGATTTACAAGGCAAAGTAAAACTGGGAACAATATACATGCCACTGAATCCCAAGACGCTAAGCGCGTTATATAAAAGGGCCCTTCATAGGTTTACTAGCAAACATGACTCCCTGGGATCATGGCCAAAATTATGAACGTTCATAAAAAATGACATATGGTCGATATTTATTAAATAAAACTTAAAGTTGAGTATTCGTTTGACTACCAAACTGGAAAATAAAGAACGGGATAAGGCGGCAGCACTGTGAAGACTTCAGGGGCAGACAATGTCCACCAGGACTCCTGGGATGCAGAGTTAGAATATTGCTGGGAAGCAGTTTGCAAAATATCCAGGCATCATAGAACCTAACACTTGCCCTGTTTTTAGGAATTTGCCTCAAATAGGAGTAATCAGAGAGGCAGGATTGGAGTCAGAGTGACATCAACACAAGCGTCTACAGACACAGGACAGCAGTACCCACAGACATACACACACTCTCACACACACGGCAGGGGCACTGCCCAACGAGGCGATGCGTGGGTTCAGCAGCAGAAGGTTAAATTAAAGCTGATACCAGAACCCAATGGGACAGCACATACAATGTTTAACGTTAATGGTCAGGAAAAGGACGATTAATAGCAGGAAAGCTAATAGGCTCTCACATAACTGGGGGGACAAGAGTAAAGAGTTAACATGAAACCTGATTTACATCCTAAGAGACAGTGTTCCAGGGGTGTGTGTGTGCATACTCGTGTGCATGTGTGTCTGTGCATCTCCATGTAGAAGCGTGCAAGTGAGTGAGCACATTATAATTACCTGGGTAGGTCTTGATAAAGTTCATTTTATTAAAATCTTCAGAAACATGAAATTCCTAAAAGTAAACACATGCAATAAGATGACAGTTATGTTTTTTTTTAAACAACAGGAACTTAACTTTCAAGACAAAGTAAAATCCTAAAATGCCTATCAACACACGGAGACACCAGATGGCAGGAGTTGCTCCTTTCAGCAGGCCTGGCCCCAGGCCAGCATTTCTTGCTTTTTTTTGTTTTTCCAAAAGGAGCGTGTTTATTGCTTTTTTTTCCTTATTAGAAATTCCTCAACAGCAAGGCCATTTCTTGGGGAGACCAGACCACAAACAGAAAATCCCACTGCCCAGAGCAACACTTCTGTGTCTCCCCGCGTGAGCACCTCCTACCCCTCTCACTGTCAAGGCGTGTGCTGGCAGTTGGGCTCTCCCTGCTACGGCTGAAAATGCCTCCAGGCCATAGGCACAGAAAGTGACAGTCTCAGCTACAGTGAGAAGAAGGTAGTGAGTATCTGGGCAGTGTAAGGGGGAAAATAAACATTTCACATACAAAACACGGGGCGCGGGGGGCGGGGGAACGGAATTTAGAGATTGTGGGTGATTTTCCTATTTTGATGCTCCTGTGTTCTCAGAAATTTTATAGACTAAGTCATACTCTATAACTAAGGAAAAAAATGAAAAGCAAATACTTCTTAAAATCAGAAAATGAACCTCAACATAAAATGGGAAGTAAAAAATCCTAATTAAAAATTCTACAGATCAAGGCTAAATCGGTAAGATCTTAAGGCATTAAGTAACAGAGACATTGTAAACTGCTGACTTCTCAGACTGGAAAATAAACAAAACCCCACAAAGCAATACCAATTCCTGTTCTCTGTCTTGATTTTGCAAAGTACAAAGCTGTCTCCTCATTGCATAATCGCTACTAATCTGGTCTGCTTAATAGATCAATTGCTAACTAATGATAAAGTGGGTTTACGCTGCCCCTTTCCACTGAGGAGTTCTAGGAGGCCTCACACACTATGAAAAATGGCAGCACCCACCCACGGTCCCTGAGAAATCATCGCTTTCTGCCACCATGACAATGAGAGCTGAGGCCGCCACCATGACTTCTTATATGTGTGTGAGCCCGTGGCCGTGATGAGCCCAAGGCATTTCCAAGAGCATCAAGCCCCAGCCGCCCGGCCAGCCCTGCCACTTGCCCAGCACTGAGGAACTGCAGGGGCAGGCGGCTATGCTTTCCACTGGCTCTTTCCTTCTTGGCCCCTAGCACAACTCAAGGTTTCTTCTCCTGTCATTTTGAAAAGGAAACGAACAAAACCTGAAACTCTTTCAACAATACAACATTCTTCGTCCCCTTTTCAGCCAAAAAACCTTCTTGAGAGATGAGCCCAAACCCGCTCCCACTGGCAACTAGCTTCGAAGAACCCACGCCCAGCCCAGACCAAACACTATCCCCTTGGCCCTCTTCGCCAGGGCCATTTCTGTCTCGAGGACAGCCAACCGCTCCCCAGCTGCCCGGCTAGAGACCTGGAAGCCAGCTGAAGTCCGCTCTCTATTAAACAGCCACATCTTGCCAGCAAAGCCAAGCCCTGCTGCCAGATAGTTCTGGAAACCCTCACTTCTTCTCCAGCCCCGCCCAGTGTTTCAAGTTCTCATGCCGGAGCCCCTCTCAGGCCTGCCCTCCAAGCCCCTCTTCCACACAGTGCACATGAGCTAGGAAAGCCAGGCCCCCCACAGCTCAGTGCCCCCCCCCCGTTATATAGGGCCTCTTCTCACACACAATCCCAAGCAGCCCACTCACACACACTCCCAGTCTCTCCCGGCCAGGCAAGGGCCGGGAAATAAGTACTCCAACCAGCACCCCAACAACTCGTGTGATCACCAGTTTGCGAATCTCGGCTCACGTCTCCCCTCCCACAACCTGCCTTCCCCCTCAGCCCCCGTCCTAAATCTCAGAGAGAGGCAGGAGTCAGGCCCCGCCCAGTCTCCACTCCTCCTCCCCAGGTGATCACCGCCATTCCCATGGTTTCAAAACCTCCTGGGGCTGATGACATCCCGCCTGGCCTCTCCTGGGCTCCACGCTGTAAGTCCAATGCCAAGTTCCATGGCCACCAGATGCCTCGGCGGCATCTTCAGCATACAGCGGACTCCTTGCTGTCCCCTTCCCAACCCTAAGCCTTTCTCTCCTTGATAAACAATACCTCTGTCTACCCACTTCCTCAGGCCAGAAACCTGATGTCCTCCTCCCGACAAGGAGACTGTCTCAGACCCACCCTCACTGTGCCGTCCCCTCACCCACATGCTACAACATGCTCACTGCCCTCGATCTGTTCTCCACCAAGGGGCTGTAAACAATGTAAGTTATGTCCTGGCTCTGGTCTGAAAACCCCCAGAGCCCCCCTTGGCACTGACAACGAAGCCTAAAGCTTGACCCAGACCTACAAGGCCCTGAGTGATGGGCCTCAGCCCACACTCCCCACTGGCTCTGGCACGACCCGGTCATGAGAGCCTCCTCCAAGTACTCAGCTACCGGAGGCCTCCCGCCTCGCTCGAGTCCTAATGCCTACCTTCCTTTCTGGAGAACTCTCTGGCTCTGCCCGCGGGCTCCCTCCCACACAGCAAGTCCTTGTAGCAATCTTCCTGTCCACAGGGGGCCACTGCCTCTGGGCTCCATCTTTCACTGCACCTGTGTGTGTCCACAGCACTGACTACAACATGTGACCTGACGTTTATTCAGTGCCTGTGCACTGTTTGTCCCTCCCACTAGACTGTCTGTCCCTCCCACTAGACTGAGAGACCCCTGAGAGCAGGGACTGAGTGACTTAGCACCCTGCATGACACTGGTGCTGGATAAACATTCACGAGCAGAGAAGCAGAGGAATAGGGAGTGAGCGCTCAGAAACCTTTACAGCCATTCAAAATGGTTGTGACATCCAAGAATGAAGTCAGTGGATTTTCTCACTGATTTCCGGAATGTAGTATCAGGAATATCAACCCAGCCTACTAAACTGAAACAAACAGAGGGAAGGAAATAAGAAGGACCGGAATTGAAAAAAGTAGAGAAAAGGAAAACCAACAGAGAAAATCAATGAAACCAAATCTGGGTCTTTGAGAATCAACAAAATGGATAAACATTTGGCTGGGAGAGAGAGACAAGAGAGGACGCACATTACTAGATTCAGAGAGGGAATGGGGGGGCACTACCATCAACCTTACAGAAAAGGGGAGCGCCCCAGGGCGGCTATGAACAAACTCATCCAACACATCAGAGACGCCAGAGGAAACGGACAAACTCCTAAGACCAAAACAACAAATACCGAAAAGGAAATTAAAAATGTGTGAGAAAATAAAGAGCTTCAGCTCGTACTCAAAAATTCCCACACAATGAAAAGTCCAGGACCAGATGATTTCATTGGTCAACTCTTTCGGACTGGAAGTCCAAGTGTCTTAAAATGCCAAACAATCAAACAAATAAATGCATGTTTTAAAAAAATGGGCCAAGGACTTGAATCGGTAATTTCTCCAAAGGTGATGCACAAATGGCAAAAAAAAAAAAAAAAAAAAAAAAAAAAAAAAAAAAAAAAAAAAACCCATGAGAAGATGCTCATCACTCTATGACATCACTGGCCATTGGAGGAAAGCAAATTAAACCATAATGGGGTAGCCCTTCACATGGATAGGACGGCCATAAGAAAACCAAACAAAAATATCAAAAATAACAAGCGGGGGCAATGATGTCGAAAACCTGGTATCCTTGTAACATTGCTGGCGGGAATGAAAAATGGTGTAGTGACTTTGGGAAACAGTTTGACAGTTCCTCAAAAAGTTAAAGACAGAGTTACCCTATGATGTAGCAATTCCATTCCTAAGGGCTGTGTGTGTGTGTGTGTGTGTGTGTACACGAATGATCATACCACCACTCTTCACAGTGGTCAAAAAGTGGAAACAATCCAAATGCCCATAGGCTAACGGATGACAGTGGGCATATCAGTGTCGTGGAATATGATTGCACCACAAAAGGAAAGGCGTACTAATTCAAGCTACAACATAGATGGACCTCGGAAACATAATGCTATGTGAAAGTCAGACATAATAGGTCACACGTTTTGTGATTCTATTTATATAAAATGTGTAGAATAGAAAGCTCACTAGACTCAGAAAGTAGATCAGTGGCTTCCAGGAGCTGGGGTAGGAGGTACAGGGGTGACTGCTAATAGGTATTGAGATTTTTTTGAGGGGTGGGAGAATAATGGAAATGCTGGAATTAGAAAGTTAATGGTTAAACAGTCTTGTGAATATAGTACAAAAGCACTGACCTGCACACCATAAAATGATGAATTTTATGGTATAAAAATTATCTCAATTAAGAAAAAAACAAACACACAATTAGATGCATTAAAAAAAAAAAACAATCACAAGTAGAAAACTTTAAATATCTGGTCTTTCACCAAAGATAGTTGGAGAAGCACTGCCATAAAGAGTTCTGTGAGTTGCTGGCTGAATGAATGGTCCCTAATTTTGTTCTTCTTCCTGCTCCTCTGTTACACACACACACACTCTCTCTCTCTCTCTCTCCACCATGCTCCCCTTGTCTCAGGCACTAAGGCTGTGTGAACCATCAATCACGATGGCATTCTGAGCTCTGTGGGACTAGTTTAAAATTAAGCACTAACTAAAATCAATGCATTTTGGGGCCAAAGTCCTACACTGGATTAAACAAGTGTTTATGCCGAACAATCAGGTATTTATCGCTAATATTATTTCAGCTAACAGGAGTGAGCACAGAAGCTACCTACCATCACAGCTCCATTATCCTGGCCCACAAATATCCGTCTGCTGTCGTGATGGTAAGTCATAGCAGAGCAGGGAGCTGCCAGAAAGACAAAGACCACATTACAAAGCAAGGCTAAGCATTTAAGTCAGTACTCAAAGCACACTGTCAGAAAAAGCTGTACCATTCAGGCTTAAAAAGAGTATAAATGTTTTGTAGAAAAGGATGATGAAAACTGAAAATGTTACTCAAGTTCTTTCTGTTGTTTTAGTTAAATTTTCTAATTTTAGTGCCTCCCCGGTGGCGCAGCAGTTGAGCGCTGGGTTGCGAAGCTGCCCGCAGCCTCTGCAGCGCCAGTTCGGCCACCGGGTGAGGGTCCCACTTGGCGCGCAGACCTCTCCTGCCGCCCGCTGCTCCCCTCAGCAGTGTACTTCGGTCCTTCTGCCTGCTCTGCTCCCCGCTCTGGCTCTGGTGAATTCTCTCACCCTCCTGCGCTTCTGACTGCCCCCAGTGCTTGTATAAATAATGAATCTTTTTTAAAAAAAAAAAAAAAAAGATGATTAAGAACTTAAAAACAAAAAAATTTCTAATTTTAAAAAGCTTCTAAATGATTTCTGTAACTTTCGGTGAAGCTTCATCTGATTGAAACCCCTACCAACAGGCTGGAGAGGTCTAGGGACCTGAGGTAGGCCCTGGTCTGCCACCTAAACACAGCAGTTACCCCGCCCTGCCTCCGGTCCCATCACAGGGAAAAAGGAGCTGCCATGTGTAGAAAGGCGGGGCGGGAGTTCCCAGCACCAGAATTCCCTGGCATATGTGAGCAGCTGGGAAAGTCACTTTGGAATCACTTTTTTCAATAGTCAAAAAATGTTCTCTTTTGCAATGAATCACACACATGTCAGTCTACAGTAACCAGAGTCATGTGGTGTAGACTTGGCTCTGTGTCCATCACAGTGGCACGTGACTCAAGCAGCACCTGCTTTTTCTCAGGCACAACCCCTGCCAGGCTTCACTACCCTTTCTGAAAGTATGAGCCAGACAAGAAGGCTTAGAAAGGAGAAAATCTAAGTAGTTTCCTTTTGCTAAAAACCAGAATTAAAGGGAGTTAGAAAATGGGACGGGTGGAAAAAGAAATGTTTGGGCTCTTTTCAGCCTAGAGAATCTTACTCATGGGGGAGCCACCATAAGAAGATGCATGCCTGGAAAAAGAAATAAGCAAGCAAACTAGAGTTTACATTAAAATAAAACTTCTTACAACAAAAATAGAAAAACAAAGTCTTATAAACGAAGTCACCCATTTAGAAGTAGTTGGACATTCTCTCTATAATGGGCTCATATTCCCCCCTTAAAGGAAGAAAAAACTGTAATACTGGTTTGCACCCAAAGGCAAAAACCCAGTTACCTCTATGATCAACATACAGGAAATGATGCTTCCCTTCAGCTGCCACTGTCTGTATAAGACAATGGAACTGAGTACAAGCTTGCATCCCCTTAGCCACCACACTGATATTGAGACAACAAAAAAATGGATAGTTCAAGATTATAACCTCAAAGAGATATGTATCTTCACACAAAGTGCTCTTGAGTAAGTGCTCATAAAATTATCTTGGCTAAATCAAATCAGGCTTTGGTGATTTCATAGATTCAATGGCATTATTGCTAACTTTTCAGTTGGCACTGAATCTTAAAGCTTTGGTTTCAAAATTCTCTTTTTGCCCAACTCTTTAACTGTATATAAATATGTAAAAATCCCTCTTTTGTGCAAAAATTACAACACGCTGAATGATTTTAGGAAGCTAGAGAAGTCCTCCATTTAAAAATGAAAAAAGCTTCCCTCCCAAGTTTGTTTGTTTTGTATATAAAGATGTTCTGGCTTTCTTCCTAGAAGGGAAGGTTCTAGTAAAATAAGCCATTGAAGAAAAAAAGAGAGGGAGGTCTGGGCAGTCACATAATTTTATTTAAAAAAAGCAAAATTCCAAATCGTTTTTCAAAGTAGTGGCCTTTAGCACGGCATAGCTGCAGCCCGAGGGCCTGTGCTGGAAACTCTGGCTTGGTGAAGAACCTTCCTTGCTTGTCTGGAGCACAATCAGGATCTGGGGTGTGTGTGCCGTTTGGTTGCTCTTTCGTTTTCATGGCAGACCTGAGCGACTGTCACAGACACTGTCTGGTCCACAGTCTAAATATTTACCGTCTGACCTTCTGCAGGGAAAGCTGCTGGGCCCAACCAGTACCGTGGTGGGCAGCTGAGTTTTGGACTCATACAGGCGTGGGTTGGTATTCCAACTGCCAGTAATCGATTTTCCTCAGTTTCCTCATCTACTAAATGGTGAAAGAGCATCCACCTTGCACAGCTGTTGCGATTGCTTAAGATGGTATTACCAGAAGGAAAAAAAAGGCAGGAGGCACAGAGTAGGAGCAGCAACTAAGCTAAATTTCAGTCTGGCTACAGCAGACTGCTAAAATTGCTTTTGTTATGTGAGGCAATGTTATAAAGCATAACTGGGCTCCACAGAGCAATATACTAAGTTCTGGCATACGGATCATTCTGTCAGTCCACAGGGAAATGTTTTACATTGGAGATGACCACTAATGAGTGCATCCTGCGTCAGGAAATATGCAGGTAGTTCTTAAAGCCAGGACGGCACTTTCTTCTTGTATTTTGAATTTAACTTTAAACATCATTCTAAAACAGGAGAGTAGTTATTTCGCATAATTGATTCATTCTGTTTTATCCTAGCAGAGTTCTTACAGATTTATCTGCAGACGCAGTTCCAGATGGAGATATTAAAGAAGCCTCTGGAGCTGCAGGCTGTGGGTAAAGGCACACACACACAGTGCTGGACACCGGCAGGGGTGACTGTGTGCCTGTTCTTTCTGGCTTTCACTGTCTTTCTAACCACAATTTCCGGGGCTGCTCCAGGGGGTACAGCTCAGCCAAGTTAGCAAGGACAGCACCAAAGCCATGTGCCCAAGATGGAAAAGCCAACACAAAGCGTGCATTTCTGCTGGGTTTGGATACCCTGGAAGAGAAAGTAATTAGGAGCGCTACTCAATATTTGGGGAAAACAAACAAAGGAGTCATCGAACTAAATACAGAACAATGTCCATCTCTGCTGCTCTCTGTCCTAATGAGCATGAACCCCAAGGTTGTAGCCTCAAGGAGACTGAGCTGTGGCCAAAATATGAAGTATAGGAGAAGGGAGGGTGGGAGGAAAAACAGCAGGTTAACAGGACTGCACACAAAGAAACCAGCACCACACGAGGTCCTGAGGCTGCTGCCATCCTGTCCCCACGTCTTTGGAAGGAAGGTGTTCTCAGTCTAAGACAAGCCTTATTTTGGCTGGGCAAAGGGTGGGCTTGTAACAGGGTGGTCCCCAGGAAAGGGGGAGGTTCCCTGCCCCACCCAAGGGAGGGTGGAGCTGAGCAGGGAGAGAAGCTGCAGAGGAGACTGAGGAAGGAAGGAAGCAGGATGGAGCCAGAAGGAGACCTGGAGGAGGCGCATGGAGCCTAGAGACATGTGAAGAAACTGCGCTTGCCTTTTGGTCGTGGACTGGGTGACACAGATGTGGGTGAGACCCGTGGGGAGGGGACCATGGCAGCTTTTATCTTGATGTTGATTTTGCTCTTTTCCTTCCGGGCTTGTCTGGTTGTTTCTGACCCTTTTCTGTGGGTCCCCACTGGAAGGTGCTTTAGACTTGTGGCAGGCTTTGGGGCCTTGCTCTGGGCCAATCCCATTTGGATGGAGTTTTACCCACGAGGGGTCGGGTCACTTTGGGTACTTGATTTAGAAACTAGATTCTTTGCCTTTCCTGGATTGTTTCCTAGCTGTATTAAAGTTCCTTCCCATTAAAGTCTCCTATGTTTTGTGTTGATGCGGCGGATGGCAGAACCCATTTAGAACAGGCAGGTTTGCAGGGTCTGGGCTGCCCCTCTCCCTGCTCTATAACAGGCTCAGAGCCCCAAGGTGTCCCACCTGCCTCTGCCCTGGTCCAAAGAATTCTGCAAGCAAATTTCTCAAAAGGGCTCCACAAGATATCAGAGAGAGAATCCAAAGGTGCGCGTCACAGTACACAGGCCAGGGAGTGACTCCAGCAAGGCACATAAGTGGGGCTAGGTCTTAAGGCCGTTATCCAGAGGGCTCCCTATAGAAAATCTTATGGTTCCCTGTACAAGAGTAGTTGTCTTCATACCAGCGTGTTCCCAAAAAGCCCACTTTGCTTGTACTGAACGATTGTGAAGACAGAGCAGGTGGCCAGCCCAGGCTGTCAGCTGGAAGCAGGACAAATGGAAGCGCTGAGCCCTGAAGGCAGCCAAGGCTCACTGGGCACTCATGCAGGCCACCGCTCAGCTGGGGGTTATACGGAGTCGCTGAGGAGTGGGGGTCGGTAACAAGCGCCACAGCCTGTGGACTGACTCTTACACAGGCTGACAGCAGTGTCTGGAACAAGTGTGAGGAACTCTATTTTGGACAACTTTATAAAGCTCTTTAGTAACAAACCCTCAAGCACGCCCCAAGACCTACTTTCTTATCACAGGGGCCTCTAGCTATTGAAACTCTCAACTAAGGAAAATCCCTCCTCAAGAATCTAAACCACAAAGGAGCTCCAGGCTACAGCAGGCTGCCTTCCCTGCCTCCAGAGGCCAGGCCATGCCCCGGGGCCAGGGTGGTATCCAGCATCCTCCCTGGGTGTTCCTTCCAAGGAAAGATGAAGAAATGCTGCTGAGATTTGCCTGAAGGACTAGAATTTAAAGGTGACTTTATGTCACTACATCTCAGGGCTGTATTAAAATCTCACTATAAAAGTGAGATTTATCTTTAGCTTCCAGATCTATTTTCAGACCCTACTTGACTACTTAGAAAATTCTCTATTTAAAACGTGTCACTCCTTGGTTAGACTCTCCCAAGAGTGCCCAAAGGTTTGTGAAAATGGGGGCAAAAGGCCAGCTATGGCGGCACCGGGGGTCGCAATCAGCTACGGCTAAGGGAGAAGTCACACCCACAGACGTGGACACAGAGGACAGGGAACACGGGGGAGGGAGGCCCAAACTCTTTTCCTCTTTCTTTCGTCCCCCAGTTTTGCTCAAGTCGGCTTCAGTTAAGCCAGTAACCCAACTTCCTTTGCAAAAGTGAAGTTTTCCTGTAGTTTATCACAATCTGTCAGAGATATTAGGCAATGAAGAAACTCGTGCTGAACTCTCCTGGCACTTTTTAATCAGGTATTTTGAGATTTAAATAATCATAGACATTAAAGGCACTTTCCCAAGAGGAACAGACAGTCCAGCTACTTACAGGCCATTGTGTGGTAGATGCTGGGCCAGTACTGGCCACTGTCTCTTTTCAGCCATACTCGGATGGTTCTGTGGCGAAAAGAAAAGAGTGGTCTTCAGTAATTTTGTCTCTTTTTTGCTCGAAGAAAACTTATTTTATCATCAATATTATTTCCCAAATAACTGTGAAATTAATCAACTGGACAAATTCATAAAACAATGCATATGGTACACATTGCACACAGGCACAATTATATATAGTTACATGTAGTGTGACCACAAATGGTAACTTACACAATACCCAGGAGTTGTGAGTTCAAAGAATTTTAAAAATATAGGAAATGCTCACTGTATAATGATATGCATAGGAAACTTGACAAAAGGGACTATGGAAACTTGGATGCTTGACTGTCTGAGCCAAATGAGGAGAGTAGTAGATCTAAATGGAGAGAAAGTGGGAGAGAGGTGACTTCGCCAAGCCCAGTCCGCTGCCGTAACCAGGCCCGTCTTCACGCCCCAACAGGCAAGCATCCTACTCCACGCATCTGGGCAGCTCCACTCATCAGAACACACGCAGGAGAGGAAGAACCTCCATCACAGGCAGGTAGGTGACAAATGACCAACACAGCTGAAGTGTAACATTGTGGTTTATCACCTCAGAAGAACAAGAAGGAATTCTGTGACCCTCGCTCGTCCACTCACAGAAGAACCTTCTAGAAACTCCCACTCTCTCCCAGGTCCCAAGACAAGCACTGCCCCTTCCAGGGCTGCCACGTGCTGCCTTTACAATGGTTCCTGAGTATCTTCTCCCCCGTAATCAGTCACATCCTTGTGTTTCTAACAGCAACACGGACTCTGGCTGTCAGCCAGTGCTGAATTGGTTGGTGTTTATAACCTTAAACTAAAACACGTAAGTCTAAATGTTGACATAACTTGTTTCCATTTTGTTTGAAGGTCAAGACAACTGAGACTGGCCTATGTGGGTAAAAATCTCACAAGGGGCTGCTTCTGGGGAAGGGAGATAGGAAGCCAAGGGACATGAGAGAACTTTCTAGGGGAATGGCAGGGCTTCTGGCTGCCTGGGTATCTGCAATTGTCAGTCTGTACAGGATACAGTACACTGCCCCTTTACTACAAGAAAACAAAAACTAGATGCTGAGCTTCATTCATTCAAATAAAAGCCAGCAGTGCAGCAGCTCTGTGGACACATGCTATCCCATGTGTGAACTGGGGCAGAGGCAGCCAATCTGCCACGAGCCCGTCTCCAGCCACGCTGACTGGTGACCGTGGACTCTCTGCCAAGCTGAGTCACTGGGCATCTTCCTCTCCCTTACAGCTGGGGAGGCCAGAAGGGGGCACCTGACTCCGGCCAGATCCACCCCCTCCCTGGAAAGCAAACCCAGCAGAGATGCATCCGTGTGTCTCCAGTAGCTGAAATGGATGTTTCTGGCCATATGGCTGGTGTCAGGACTGGAGAAATCTGTCTATCTGTGGGGAAAAGGGAAAGAGCGAAACTGATGATAAGCCCAGGAGGGTCCAGGTGGAGGGTCCTAGGGCTGGCCGCTGGCACGGCCGTGCTATTTTCCCAGAGACCCCTCGAATCCTGACGCAGACAGCCTCGCGTCCTTACCACAAAGGCCGGCAGTGGCTTACGCCAGCCAGAGCTACCTGTTCACAATCAAGCAGGGTTAGGGCCAAGAAGAATCTAGAACAGTTTCTCCATTCAAGCCCCATTAAACAAGCTCCTCCTTGACAAGGCTCACGGGGCGAGAATGGGGCAGCCTTGCAGTGCGATACCGGGACAGAAGCTCTATGAAGCCAAGGTCACGATCAAAGTTAAGGAGAGAAGTAAGACTAAAGCAAGCATGGGCAGACCTGTCATTTTCATACTCTGTGATTAGACATCTTCAAGCAGCAGCCAGCACTCTGCAAGGCACGCTGGCCGCCCTGGCTGCGTGTGGCTCGGAACCAGTCACGGCCCATGGGTTTTTTCTTTCATGAACCTCAGAGGCTAAAAGGGTCATGATGCAGATCTTTCTAATCTGGAACCACTTAAATGAAATTATGGAAAATACTTAACTGGCGTGGAAGATGTTCACAAGGTTAAGTTAAAGCCCTATACAAAGCTGATGAGTGCAGTACAAAACCAATCTTATTTCAAATATAACAGCATGATATCGTCAAATGCCTGCATTCAACTGTCACCTTACTGAAAACGCAGAGGGCAGAAGGAACAGGAAAAAGAGCTCTGCCAGGGTGCACTCGACAAAGTCAGAGTTGTGGGACAGTCCAGAGACAAAATGACCCAGTTTCTCTGCTAATAATCTGTGAAGGGAAAACCCGGAGAGGGAGGAGGAGTCTGACTGAAGGGGCTTAGGAGACCATCAAGCACACGCGCAGTCTTCCTGCTAGATGTATGCACGTGACTCTAACACAGCTGGAAATACGAACACAGACTAGGTTTTTGGTGACTCCTTTTTCAGCGCTGTTTTTGTTCCTTTGGGGGTGATTACAGTGTTGCAGGTTTTGCTAGTTTGCCTTTAAAAAGCAAGCAGTACTTCCTAACGCTGAGCTAGTCCTGGTCTGCTCTCTGCTCACCCGCCGTGGTCTGGCGCACCCCACCCACACGGCCTCCTCTTGGGTGACCTGGCAGGCTCGCTCTCTGGTCCATTTGTAAATGCTGACCACCAGCCACATCTCCCAAGGAGCCCTACATCCCACTGGCCCCGTGCTCAAATTGGGGGTTTCACCCCACACCCTGCATCCTGGCAAGCTGTCTGCCACCCTCAAGTGCCCCAAACACGCCCAGCTCAGGCCACGCCCCACACCCGCCTCCGTCCCCACCCTAAGGATGTCGCTCTCCAGGCAGCAGCTTCTGAGGCATATGGCAGATGGGCACCATTTCACACAACTCCGTCCTCTAAGATAACCAACAGAAACTTACATGAGGATCCGTAGGTCTGAACTACCAACAGGACACTACGTGCTTATGGATACACTTTATTGCTTATGCCCGACCTAGGGAAGGAGCCAGGGGAGCTGTTAATGAGTGAAGGCTGCTCCTCACTAGGTGATTGGTCTGCTCAAGGATCTGCTTCATTTCCAAAGTCACAGCCACGCAGGCCTCGGCGCTGGGTGGCATGACCCCCTCATCAAGCCCATCGAGCTGTCGGGCCTTCGTGAACAAAGGAGGTCAAATCTGGGGCCACCTAGCTATCAGGCTGAGGTCATCACACTCCAGAACCCTCCAAATAGACCCCAAAAGTTGTGGGTCACGATGCATGAGCAGCGCACACCTTTGACCTCCCAAAAGGAGAGCAATATTCAGACAGCTGGCAAGCCTGCCAGGCGGGAAATGTAAAGGCCGACCCTTCCACCCAATCATCTAACTCGGGAAAGTCAAACTTGAGTTTCACATGGCTTCAGAATGCTATTTAAACTCGCTCCAGGTTGAAACACAACCCACCTAGACCTCCATGTCTGAAATGCAATAGTCTGGCATTACCAACACCAGTGTCACCATCTGACCCGCCGCTCCGAACTGACAGCCGGGCCAGGCAGACGGACCTTCAAGACTTTGGTTTTGAAATAAAAACCATCTTGCTTGGGAGTCAGTTTCCAAATTAAGCACTTGGCCTTGAGGGCCCTGCCTCTGCTGTCACATCTTCCATATGGAATTTCCGTTCTCTTCCCCAGGCATGCTTTCCTTTCCTTTGACAATGCTAAAATCCCACTTCTAAGACTAAACCAAGCCAATGACAGATTTAACTCGTAACTCTCCAGCACTCCCAAGAACGTAGGTATTAGATACAGTTGCATAATTTCTACTAAGTAATATAGAAATTTGTCTTGTATTGTATTCAGAATACATCTCATTGGTTCAACAAACGGTTGTAAAAACAGCCATGTCGGGCTACTTATTTAAAAAATCAACAAATTCCACAGATGAAAATAAAATGTACTCATCAGTAAACTGGAGGTCAAATTTACTATTTACTAGGTTGAAAGCAACACAGTAAGACAGCTTAGTCACATTTTACAGGCGCAAACTATTTTAAAATTTAGACAATGATATTACTAAAGCATATCATCACTAAAGTGTCAAGATCAGATGGTATTATTTTTACAAAAAATCACAATATTTCCTGCCTAGATGAATGTCTATGCTACTCTCTCCACTGACATCAAATGAAACAGCTTAACTTTTCCTTTACTATTTTGACAATTTTACACCCACTCACTTAAACTCATCTTGTGTTTTTTCTCGCTGCTTTTTCCTACCCATTTTTTTAACGGATGGATTTTCTTTAACATGGATTCCAAGACCATGTCAATCTGAAAAAAGCTCTCTCCTGAGAAGGGAACCTTTAGAAACATGTTCATTCTTTGCCAACCTCTATTTTTAAGTTATTTTAAAAACAATAGTCTGATATTTTTCCAAAAGGTACTTAGTGAGGAAATGTGTCATTTCTTTCAAAGCCTACATTGTTTTTCAAGCTCCCCCATGTCTCTGTTACTTGTGGGGAGCTCCACACCAATCACCTTTGCCTGCCTGGTTAGGGGCCCAGAGACTCATAAAAGGTTGCAGAGCCTTCCATGGGTGAGGAAAGGCATCTCCCCGAAAGCCCGTGAGGATGAAGAAACGTAACCACACTACTCTCAGCACAGACACCCCCTAATTTGTCCATTATTGTTCTGCATAGGGGATGGCCCACTTTCTAGACAAATGAAAGGCCAAAGTTGTATTATATTCTTTTTTTAAACAAAATTTTTTTTTTTTTTAACAAGAACTGGGCTACAGGCTAGAGATGCAGGAGGGTGAGAGGATTCACCAAAGACAGAGCGGGGAACAGATCAGGCAGATGGACAGAAAACACTGCTGAGGGGAGCAGCGGGCAAGACAGGAGAAGTCTGCCGCGCCATGTGGGGATCTCCCTGGCTGGCCGGGAATCAAACCCGCGCTGCAGAGACTGCGGACAGCTTCACAGCGTTGCGCTCAACCCCCTGTGCCATCAGGGAGGCCCTGTATTATATTCTTTACTTTAAATATTTCAAATTTTGATGTTTTTAAAACACATTGTTGTGCAGAG